CCCCCAAAACCCCAAAACCCCATGAGTTAGGTAACTTGGCATGAAAACTTTTTTATTTTTTTTAAGAGAAAGAGAATCAAGTAAATTTTATTTTATTTAGTAAACTTCGCATTCTTAAATTAAATCTTAAATTCATGGCGAGCACATCGAGCAATTTTAGACAGTCAAATAGCCTTCATAGGTAGTAATAACTAGATATTATCTCTCAAAGAAGTTAAAATTTCGCCAATGTAAGTTTATCTAATACTATATTTCCTCTTGCCTTAACTTTCTAAAAATTTAGATTGATTAAAATGAGGAAACATTGAAAGTAATGAAGAAGTGTACTCTGATTAAAATCAAAGTCAAATAACTGCTCAAACAAATCGACGTTGAAAAGGCAGATGTGGTGAATGTGCAAGTATTTTATGATATTTTGAAGTTGCATAATGTGGATTTCAAGGATGCAGACAAAAGAATGATCAGATAGAGATTCGTTCAAAGCATTAAAGGATAAGAGAAGATTAAATATAAAGAGGTTATTGCTAACATCAGTGTGAATCTTACAACAGCTGGTGATCCACTCTAGAATAACTGGATTCTAAGAAATTCAGATAGTGACGCAGCATCTATCAAAAGATTTATGGATAGTGATTACGGAAGTATAGCAGATAATATGTCGTAAATATCAGGCTACTCTAACATAATGAGACACTTTAGCCCAATAGGAGGGTTAAAACAAAGTATCAAATTTAATAAAACTCATAATAATCCTGAGTCTCCTATAAAAAAGATTCTACCCAGTGAGATATCGCGAAAGTTATCATCTCCAGGCAGTCCAATTTAGCCAGTAAAATTATAGAAAATAACTGATAAGACTGCTACTTCTATGTATGAAAGTTTTGATGAAAAAACAGTCAAAGTACAAAATAAGACTTAACAAATCATGGTATTTAGTAAGCTTTGTTTATTTGATGAAATTTCTTTTAGCGAAAAAGATAAACGACATATTTCAATAGGATCCTGATAGATTCCAAAGAATAACTGACTTGTAATAAATTTCTTAATAATTATAACTTAATTTAATAGGCTAAGAGCGATTTAAGATGCTGGAGTCGATATCAGGAAACTTGAGGTTTTTAGAAATAGGCTTTTCTTGAAGACAGAGGTGCCTATAGAAGAGTTTAAGTCAATTTTGTCATTCTCATTAAATCTACCCCCAAAAAAGTCTATTATAGTTGATGAATTCATTGAAGCAATATCTTTGATTTTCCCCGAAACATATGGCTAGAGTTTTTTCCTAAAATAAATCATTGATGACTTTTTTAATCTTTGCCACTATTGGCCTCTCTAAGTTAAAAGAGACTCTAATCAGTCTCATAATATGTATAAAGTGATGAACTCAGCTAAAGCCTAGAATTTTGAAACTTCTCTTGAGATGTTCAAAAATCATAGAACAACAATAAACAGCGATATCTATAAGTTGTATGAACTAATATGGGTCAAAATTCAAGAAAAATATGATAAAATCAATCATGCTTATAAATTCTTTGCTGGCCTCTCGACTAACAAAATATCATTCAATGATTTCGTAATTGGACTCGAAAATTTAAGGTTAAAGCTTACAACAAAAGAGATTAATGATGTTTTTAATAGCTTAGATTAGGATAAAGATGGATATATTAGCTATTTAGAGTTTTGTAATATGGCAGAGGAGAGAAGAAGAGGTATTGATCCTTTTCATAACGATCATTAGTAAAAAGCTTAGGAATTTTTCACTCAAGTAAGGGAAAAGAAATCTCAATCTTTGAACCCAAGGGAAACAGTTAGAGATACATAATACTTCATGAATCATCATCATATACCTCACTTAGAAGATGATTAAGAAGGTCCAATATCTCTTGAAAAAGATGCAATGCTTAACTCGTTTATTCTCCACAAAAATAAGAAAGAAAGAGAAATGAGAAGAAAGATAAACATTTCTCAGCCAGATTGCTTTGGAAAAATCTCTCATGTATCAGACAATATTGGTGATGTTATTGCCCATATTTATACAAATTGGGATAGAGAAAATGATTATGGCAAAACTACTCCTACTAAATAGTTAATGAATGCTTCAAGAAGAATGAATAGAACAATTGAATACGAGTCAGCGCCATCTGATTCACCAGCTCTGGAAAAAAAAGGCAACTTAAAGAAGAAAATATTCAAAAACTTTCACACTAAAACAAGTCAACTCAGAGATTAATTTGTTGAATCGAATGGGAATAAGAAATAAACCATTAAATTATGATGAGAGGGATGATGAATAAAGATATCGTAAGTAATTTGGCATCGTACGCCAAATTATTATATATAGGTTTATAATTACATAAAAAAATCTATTTTTGCTTCATATTTTCTGAATTATCCGTTATCCTTCATTAAGGGGTTTTGGGGTTTTGGGGTTTTGGGGTTTTGGGG